GGTGTCCTTGTTGATCTTCCTGCATATTCGCGCTGGGTGTCATTGTTTGCGAGGATTTGTTTATGTCCTGTGACAACTAATTCCTTCTGTTCGAAAGTGTCACAAGCTCCCCTTGACTTGACACTGACTCTCTTTTCTGCATCAGGATTGTCATTGGAGCTTCCTAGCTCGTTGATTGTTTTTGAGCCAAGGAGCTTTGGATTCGGCACTACCTGCGTTACTTCACCGCATTCTCTGGTCCATATATTGACCTCATGACCTGACAGCCCCTGTGTCTTCACAACAGCGGGTCTATCCTTCCGTTCACTTTCACTTCTGAGTCCCCTCGATGTCTTTGGTCTCGGTGGAAGGGAAACGACTTCTCTTGAGATACCTTGAATCTCATCTTTTTCAAGTCCAACGTGTGTGACTCCTCTCTCTCTCCGACGCCACTCATCGATGTCTTCTCTCATCATCTGCCTCGATGGAAGACCTAGGCTTGGGCTTTCTTGGTTGTCTTCGTCCTCCAGATCAAACACAGACAGCTCCATTGCCTTGAGTTGAGCAGGAACCTCGTTACCAGCCTTTGGTGATGTCACGGTAGGCTTTCTTGGGGGTGCTAGTGGTATAAATGGTGCCACTTTAGCCCGGCTACGGCGTCTCCATCTGCTAAACGGACAGCCTGGCAGGTAGAGGCAGCAAGTCGGTGGGTCACTCTCATCGGCCTTGCTGTGTTTGCTTCGGGCACCGGAGTTTCCACCAATCCCGTCAACCTTTTAAATAACGATAACCAAAACAGTACACTCAATTGGATCGGACAACATGATCTAGGAATGAATTCAGCATTTCATTTGAAATGCCTTCTCTGCCTAAGCCAGCAAAGTTATTGCTTCAGAAATAGAGCTACAAGTTTTACAATCTTTTAATAAAAGTCCACAAGTGCATTTTTTAACCTGATGACATATTTCACCTCAAGTATTTTCAACAATTCATTTGAAAGTCTTCTAATCATCATTGGGTATTTTGGTGCGCAGAAATATAAACCTCAATAAATTCATTAAAACGATTTTCAAAGTGTCAAGGTAAAATATAGCGTGGCTTACTAATTTGTCAGGATAATACTCAGGTTCAGGATAGGATCTTTGCCACGCCCAAGTCTCGCTCAGACTTTTGGAGCACGGGCAGTGGATATCAGGTGGAATGTAGGGGGTCGTAGAAAGAACCTGTTGAAGTTAAAATATCAGCCAGGCTTAAAAATACGACATAATTCTACTATACCGTTAATGCAATGGTGACCATTATCAAATCAATCAAATTAGTTTCCTGAGACTTCTGTATCCTGAATGGTTCAAATGTTTATTTACTTTTACAACACAACGCTTAATAAACATGTATCTCCTCTTGTTAGCTTAAACAAAAAGTTTTCTGTTACCTGTAGTAAACAAAACTTGCTCGTATTTTTGTGTGTGTAAGGAATAACCAACCGGTTGAAGTACAATGAGTGTTGGAACTAGTAGTTTTGTGTTTTGTACCCCGTGGAATTTTTTAAAGATTTACCTGTACTTTAGTGCGAGAGATCCCTGACTGATTGGGACGGATATGCCTACAAATCCAGGCAGTCATCTGCCGGTAGTAAGCAGACATCTGTGAAAGTCAGTAACAGAGTTGTTGGATTTTGAAAACAATTAAGTTTTTGTTTCAGGCAGACTATCCCTTTTCATATGGAGGGACAGACATTACATTGTTCATAGTCATAGTGGAAATTGTGGGGGTTATGTGGTCATCGTTAAAATCTTTCCCTCGCTTCTGTGTTCAGCTTCGGATTCCAGGTTCACTGGGCTCTCTGAAGTCCCGGAGTTTAAAGATTTTTGCTCTTCATCGTCAAATGTTTTGACAAGAGCATGAAACTTTGTTAATATGAAACCAGTGATTGAAGTATTTTTAATTTTTTTCCAATGCTAAAAAGGGCATTGACAAGAGCCAAATCAGGACCGTACATACAAAACTGATGCCTGAGACAAAGCCAGATGAACTTTGATGCATATCCATTACACATATTTTGCTTGAGATCGGATGAATTTGTTGAGGGAAGCAGCAATGGTGGATATCATCAGGCTTTTCCAGAAGCCAGTGCGTTTCCTTTTCCGTGATGGAGGTAGTATTTTGTATGATGCGTGGGGCAGGCATATTCTGCACAGGCCTTCTCCACGTTTCCTCGATTAACAGTATTTTTAAACTACACAATTCAGCATTCCGTGTGCAAATTTAGTTAAGCTTTGCGTGTGAAAAAGTGGCATTTCCATTTTTTTCGTTATTTCCCTATAAACATCTCAGCATAAGCTATCGCAAAAGCTTCTCAACCAGTTTCCGATAAATCCTTACTTTATGTCTAGGAAACTTACCAATGTTGTACTTATATTCTCCATCATGATCCTGATATCTGTGTCTCAAAATGTAGATAACTATCGATAAAATCGCAAAAATCGCTGAAGTAATCGCAGCAGGATGCTCAAGGAACAGCAGTAAAGCAAAATCTGTCAGTTTGTTGTTTCTGAGTGCACTGCGGAAAAGGCGCGCGCACAAGAACAATGGACTTAACGGTGTCGAGTTGCTGTGAGACAAAAATGCGCATGCTGGTGTTGCGTTTATGACGACACACATATCGTAACGCTACG